CAGGACTCCTGGGTTCTCTCCCCGGCTCTGGGAGGGGAGTGGGGTCTAGTGGTTAGAGCAGGGGGGGCTGGGAGCCAGGACTCCTGGGTTCTCTCCCCGGCTCTGGGAGGGGAGTGGGGTCTAGTGGTTAGAGCAGGGGGGGCTGGGAGCCAGGACTCCTGGGTTCTCTCCCCGGCTCTGGGAGGGGAGTGGGGTCTAGTGGTTAGAGCAGGGGGGGCTGGGAGCCAGGACTCCTGGGTTCTCTCCCCGGCTCTGGGAGGGGAGTGGGGTCTGGTGGTTAGAGCAGGGGGGGCTGGGAGCCAGGACTCCTGGGTTCTCTCCCTGGCTCTGGGAGGGGAGCAGTGGGGGGACGGGTGCCCGGATGCCTGGGTTCCACGCAGTCAGGGACACAGACACAAGCTGAACGGGTTTTATTTAGAGCCCTTGTCAGGTCGCGCCGGGGTGGTCTGTCCGTCCGTCCGTCCCACGCCGGGGGGTCCATCTGTCCGTCCGTCCCAAGCCGGGGGGGTCCGTCCCGGGCTCAGGCGCTGCTGGTGAGGCACTGGGCCCCCAGGCTGCCGAAGGAATCTCTCTCCCACTCGCTCATGAGGGCGAAGTGCAGGGGCCGCTGGCAGAAGTGGCAGGCGGAGGACGCGGGGGGCTGCAGGGGGAGCCCCACGTCCTGCCAGCCCTGCACCAGCCGCTCTGTGGGGGAGATGGGGTGAGACCTCTGTGCCCCCCCCGGTACCCTCCCAGCCCCTCACTGCACCAGCTGTAGGGGGGGACTGGCGTGTGACCCCGACCTCTGTCCCCAGCCCCCCCCCCCACTGCCCCAATCTCCCCTCCCCCCGGGATCTTCATCCTTCACTGACTGACCCCCCAAGTGCCCCCTCCCAGCCCCCCCTCCCGTTTAGCCCCCCAGCCCGCTGCCCTCACCCACAAAGTAGTCCATCATGAGGGGCGTGTGGTGGGGGGAGGGCGCCAGGCGCAGCAGCTCTTCGCCCCGGGGCACCGTGGGGTAGTTGATGGCCTGGACGTAGATGTTGTGCTGGGACAGGAGAAGGTCGCAGAGCCGGGAGTTCAGGGCCGCGTCGCCCACCTGCAGGGGGGAGGAACCAGAGAGACAAGGGTGGGACCCAGGAGTCCGGGAAATACCTCCTCCCCCCTCCACACCCCACACACATACACCTCCAACCCACCAGCCCCCACTCCCCTCCTGGTGTCCTGGCTCCCAGCCCCCGCTGCTCTAACCACCAGACCCCACTCCCCTCCCAGAGCCGGGGAGAGAACCCAGGAGTCCGGCTCCCAGCCCCCCCGCTCTAACCACCAGACCCCACTCCCCTCCCAGAGCCGGGGAGAGAACCCAGGAGTCCGGCTCCCAGCCCCCCCCCGCTCTAACCACCAGACCCCACTCCCCTCCCAGAGCCGGGGAGAGGACCCAGGAGTCCTGGCTCCCAGAACGCCCCTGCTCAAGCCCCCGCCCCAAGGACCCAGGCGTCCGGCCGTACCCGGATGGGGATGATGTGGCTGGGGCAGCTGACGACGGGCAGCCCGGCGTCCATCAGCAGCTGCCGCATGTGCTTGACGTTGCGCTGGTGGGCCCGGCGCAGCCCCCGGCCCTCGGGGCCGGCCAGCACCCGCAGGGAGGCCAGGGCGCCGGCCAGCACCGGCGGGGGCAGCGAGGTGGTGAAGATGAAGCCGGCCGCGTAGGAGCGAACCGTGTCCACCAGCGCCGCCGTGCTGGCAATGTACCCCCCCACGCAGCCGAAGGCCTTCCCTGGGGGGGGAGAGCGGGGTGAGACAGGGCCTGCCGGGGAGACCCCCAAGCCCCACAGCACCCCCTAGTGCCC